AAAAAAAAAAAAAAAAAAAAAAAGAAAAGCTGGTAATGTTGTGCAGAACAGAGACCCTGGATTCAGTCCCCAGTGCTGCAAGATAAAACAATAAAATCAAATAAAATGGCTGGAGATGTAGCTCTGCAAAGGCCCTGCGTTCAATCCCCAGCTCCACAGAAACGGGGCTCAAGATCACAGTCCAGCTGTTGTGGCAAAGGGAAACAGCTCAGTGCTATAGCCAAGTGTTACAGCTCTGAGGCAGAGCTGAGTGTTACAGCTCGGAGGCAGAGCTGAGTGTTACAGCTCAGCATCATAGCTACCGCAATTTAAAGACTTGAGAATCTGAAGTTCACTCGATGAGGTGGAGAAAAATCTTTTATTATACCGGAGGGCTCAGTGGAATTCATAGTCAGGAGTCTGAGGGAGAGACTAGAAATGGGAGCCTCCTTGTACGAGTCCAGGGGTAGGTGCGCATGCTCACAGAACACTCCTGAGAGGTCATGCAGTTCAAACAGTTACAAAACATTTTGATACACTGAGCAAGAGAGTTGCCAGGCAGCACAAACTATTACATTTCTGCAGCAAAACGTTTTGCGGAAAGAACACAGAGGGCCTGTCCTATTGTGTGGTACTGCTCCATCACAGCAGAAACGCTCCAGGGCATAGCCACTCTGGCGGGGCTGGAGTCAGGCAATGAAAAGGAGGGAGGTGGGAGCTCTGCCCTCTTCCCGCCTGGAGGTGGTGAGGGGACAGGGGACCCTGCAAGAGGACAGGGAACTCGAGCCCCTTGCCCCTTGTTAAGTATCCAAAGCCTTCTGCTTGAGGCTTACCGGCCCTGGCAAACAAGCTCTGCCAACCTTGGTCTGTCCTGGGACCACAACACGGTTCTAAGTCAGTTTGGCAAAGAAGGTGCCTGACCTGGATCACAGGGTCTACCAGTTCCTGCCGAGGGAGGAAAAGCAAGACGCAAACAACAAAACTGGCAACTCCAGAAGCGATGGGAATTCTTTCAAAGGTTATAAACCAGCCACCACCGCCCCACCTTCTCTGTGGATTGAGATCTCTTGCTGTGCCGTTAGCGCCCAGAAGGAGGCAGCACTGAGGCCAGAGCTGGAGGGTGTACTCTGGAACAGCGGGTAGCTCAACGGCTCCCTAACCCCATGCCGCATGAGGGGCGCTTCCTAAGGACTTGCTGGCGTGTTTGGCGCCGCCCTAGCGGTCAACCAGTGTTTTGCTGATCACAACCCCGAAGGTTCATTCTAGCAAAGGAGGAAAAGGCGCAGAGGTCGGGTGCTTGCCTCACAGTACACAGCGAGAGATGCAGATGCCAAGATCTGATCCCAGACCTCCCACAGGGCCCTTGGGAACTTACCTGTGCAGCATACGTGTTCTCTGCCCAGCTGGCCAGCTCTGAGGAGGGAAGGGATACCGGTGGGCCAGGGTGTTCTGTATCTTCTTTTCATGTCAGTGGCCTAAAGACGGTCATGTAATCGGGTAGCTTGTTTCCAAAAAGTGGTTCGCCAACTAAATGTTCCCGGGTTCTGGGTTGCTCGCCTCTCGTTCTGGAGTTAGATTCCAGGTTCTTCTCGCCGCGAACAAAGAATTGAAAGAGATGAGCAAAAAAGCAGTGGCAAAGTTTACTCAAGAACAGTGAAGAATGGGGAGAAACTGGCTCTGCAGAGCGAGCTTGGGCTGAGTAAACAAAAACGTGAAAGCAAAGATAAAAGTACACACTGTGTCTGCGAAACACAGCATGGCTATCATGGAAAGTTATGTTAGCAAAGCCTTTATGACATGGATGTAGCCTTTAAACTGCCTAAATCTTGAGGAAACCTGCGGGCACTTCTACATCCGGGTGCTAGGAGCTGACGTCATGAAGTCATACGTAGGCCTCCTATGGAGAACCTGCTGAAGTTCTTGAGGAGTCCGAAGGCGGGGCTTTGGGAACCGCTCTGCGCATGTGTCGGGAATCTTGTAATTAGCAGGTCGCATCTACTTCCCCAGCCAGTTTTGTTAAACCCTAATCTCCTGTCATCTCTCCCTAAACACATCCTGAGTGACTTCTGCCCTTCACTTCCCCTGGGCGGTCTCACAGCTCTCATTACCAGCACCTCTCACTTGATACCACTGTTTCAGTGAGACTTTGTTGTGCTCTTGGCCTGTGAGCTTCTCTACCCTAGATGGCAGAGGGACTTTGCCTGCACAAGGGATGCTCAGTGTTGCTGACTCGCGCCCACGGTGCCTTCTTTACTCTGAGGTGCCGACAGGAGCCCTGAGATACTGATGCTGAGCTCTTAAATTCCCAGAACCTTGAGTCAAATACACCTCTGCACGAAGGCCCAGCCTCAGGCGTTTTTGCCACAGTACGGAAGACAAAGATATCCTGCCCTTGGTCTTTGGTGGAAATCCTATGCAGAAAAATGTACTGGTGGTGAGGAGGTTTCCTGGCTTCTCCACATCCCCATTCGTTGAGCCAGCCAAAGGGTCATTTCCATTTAGTGCCTTCTTTTTACTGTCACCACCTTTCTACTCACCAGGCTCCTAGAGGCAAAAGTGGCTGTTAGTCTTTTCTTGCCTAGGAGAGGCTTCTTTGTATCCTTATTTTCTCTGATGGATTTTGAAAAATAGGACTTTTATAATTTATCCTGCTGTTAAAAAAGGATCAAAAAATCTTTTGCCACTTTGCATAGCTACATCTGGGGTGGAAACCTTCTGAACACTCTTTTGAGCCTTAAGAACAAATTATCTGTCCATCTCCCAGCCCAGCACATAATCGGTCAGAGACAGGGTCATTACAAATGTGACACCCATTTAGAATTGGCTTAGACCAATTCTGAAGTCCTACTGTGTGGTCCTATGGAGTCCCTGTTTGGGAGGTGGGTGAGGAATGTCCTGGTTTTACTCTGAGTCTCCTCTCTCAGTGGGGAGGAGTCCTGCTCCTTTGCCATCTTACAGCCCCGCGGCCTCCTGGAGGCTCCTCCCCGTCCCCGGGTCCTCCCTGACCAAATGGGGGCTGCCAGGCCGCTCACTACCTGTCGGCACTCAGGACAGGAGACAGGAGGGAACGGTTTCTACATCCACTGCAGTACAAGCTTGAGGTGTCTGGTCATGCAGAAATGTAGCATACTTCTGGTCTCTCTACATCCTGTCAAAGTTATTTTCTAGACTAAATTCTCAAGGTTGTCTAATCTTTTTTTTTTTTTTAATTTCTGATGCCATGTCTCTCTCTGGGCCTAATGGCAGCTGTCTTGCAGACATAGGACGCAGTATGTAGGCAGCCTCAGAGCCAGCCTCTGCAGGCTCAGTTAATTTGTTCTGCTGAATTTTATTGATATTTTATTGTTTAAGCCACTGGGTCAGTCTTTTTGTGAGGTGGGGTGGGGTACTTACTACTGGGGCTTGAAGACAGGGCTTTTGCACTGAGCTATATCCCAAGACCTTTTCTTATTTTTAATTTTGAGACAGGGCCTGGTTAAAGCGCTGAGTTGCCCAGGCTGGGCTCAATTTTGTAATCCTCCTGCCTCAGCCTCCCAGAGTGCTGGGATAGCAGGTATATATCCCCCATACCCACTGTGTCTTATCTTTTATAGATGCAACTCTTTCACTTCCTTAGTCTTCTGGAGTTTGAATTCTGTTTCCTTTTGTTTCATTGTGCATATGGGCTTGTTCTTTCTGAAGCTCCTCTCTTTCTTGTAAAATCCTGCTGAAGGAAGCCAATGTGAGTGTTATTTTTCCTAGCACTTCTCAGAGCTAATGGAGTTAGTTGGGACATGGCCTGCTTCCCAGTTATTATGAGTTACCTCATCTTTTACTGAAGCACAAAATGGGGTGTCATCTGTACAGCCCCATAAATCAATTTTTTTTTGTGGTACTGGGGATTGAACTCAGGACCTTGTGCTTCCCAGGCAGGTACTGTGCCACTGAGCTACACATCCCAGCCCCCTGAAAGCAATTTATTTTCCTGTTCAGCTTCTAAGCCATGTATTTTATTTTAGAATTTTTACCCAAGTTCTTCACTTCGAGAATCTAATTTCTATACAAAGGTAGGCTAATAGCTGCAGTAAAGAAGCCTAAAGACTCAGTGGTGTACTCACCATAAAACAGTTTGTTTCTTTTTTTGTTGTTTTTTTGTTTTGTTTTGTTTTTTGAGACAGGGTCTCACTACGTAGTTGAGACTGACCTGGAACTCACTATGTAGCCCAGGCTGATCTTGAACTCACAGTGATCCTCCTGCCTCAGCCTCCCGAGTGCTGGGATTACAGGAGTGCACCACCATGCCTGGCAAAAGTTTGTTTCTTGCTCTTTTGTGGTTTTTGTCCCACGTGGCTTTATTGGGGTGTGGACACAGTGTCTTCCATCCAGTGGCCCAGCAGTTTCTGGGGTCTCGGAATCCTCCCTGGGAGAACCCTAAGAGAAGTGAGTGTGGGTAACTGTGTGAGAGAGTTGTTGGTGGGGCTCAGGTCTGGCCATATTTCTCTGTGAAGAAAGACAGGGAATAAACGGGGCTGTGGCCTAGGAAAATGAGGCTATGGGCTTGGGTTTGGGGAAAACCAGCCAGTCTTCACTGCACACAGTATGATTCCCATCTTCCAGCACACGCAGCTGAGCCAAAAGCGTAGTGGTTTCACAGACACCAAAGGATAACAACAGAACTTGGAAATGAACCCAAAGCTGGCTGCGCCCGGGCCACTCTGAGCCACCTGGATGCCCACCTGGCCTTCTGTCTTCATGGCTCAGTGGCTTCAAGCCCGTGACAATCTCTCTGTGACCTGTGACCTGTGACAGGGCTTCCTCCAACACGGACTTTTCCTTGCTGCTTCAGTAGCTAATCAGTTCTCTAAGCAGCGTCCCATCCCTGGGTTAGTCGGCTGCGGATAAAGGATTCTGAGAGCCACTGCCATAAAACTGAAAGAACACTCAGAGGATCAAAAGGCAGGAAGGGGGGAAGAGGGGCTTCATTATAAGGGTACCCAGAGGCTAGCGTTGTTTCAAAAGTACATCAAATGCAAAATCACCATAAAAGGAACTATGTAAGTTCTACACATTAGCTCATGTGCGACAAGCACTTAGGAAATGGCTGACCTCAGGCCGTCAGGGTGGCACAGGCCTATAGTCCCAGGATCTGGGATGCTGAGGCAGGAGGATCCTCAAGAGTTTGAGGACAGCCTGGACTACATAGTGAGACCGGAAATACCAAAAATAAAGGAATGCATGCAAGAACGAATGAATGCCTTATCTCAGATGCTGGGGAAGGCCCTGCTACTGCTGCTGTTTTTGCTTGCAGATGAGGCCTGGGCTGCTGCTGTCACAGGATGTTTTCCTCTTCAGATGATGCAGACAGCACCGGGACCCCTTCCAAGCCAAAGCCTTCCTAGGAAGAGGTGAGTGTGGGGGAGGTGGGGGTGGGCCCACGTGGGTCATTAAGTGCACCTGGAGGCCAAGGGCAGGCTCTGAGGATTCCTCCCTGACCCTGAGCAGGAGGCAGAGACTGAAGAAGGAGCTCACAAGACAGTGAAGCCGGTAGCGCTATGCCTAAGGCTCCTGCGTGCTCTACTTTAATACATATTCAATATTTGCTTAAAGGGGTAGAAGACACAGGTAAGCTGGATTCCCACACAATTCATTCACAGCTGGCTGTTAGAAACAGGGCATCATGCGACCTCCACCACCCAGCAACCCGCCCTAACAGTAAGGGGGCTTCGTGGTTGACTTAGGAGCCCGAGATCCCCGCGCCTAAGACGAGGTGCTGCAGAGGGAGAGCAGCATTTACCAGCTGGGAAGTTGGCTCACCGTAGCTCAAGCAAACACCTTACCCTTCTTACTACCACAGTACTGAGTGTGCATCGACAGCAATGCGGTCAATGTATAAGGAGGAAATGTTCTTTTGTCTTTTCACTTTAGATTTAAATAACTTCCTGGGTGTGCCGGGGATGAGCCATTTCCCCTACCCCTTTCCATAGATGGGATTCCTGGAGGTGCCATCCTAATTAAAGATAGTAAAAATGTGCGATGGAAGAGTTGCGATTTGGTCAAAATTGTTTGTGTGGATTTTTCTGTAATTTGAACTCCTGGCTGAGCTGATGTTTATTTTTTTATACTGGGAATAAAACCCAGGGTGATCTATTGATGAGCTACATCACCAGCTCTCTCCTCTCTCTTTTTCCATTTCCTCCCCTTCTTCTTCTTCTTCTTCTACTTCTCTTTCCACTGAGATAGGGTCTCGACTTACCCAGCCTGGCCTCAAACTTGAAGCCCCCCTGCCTCAGCCTCGTGGGTAGCTTTGGCTGGAGCCCTGGCAGATGTGGGCTCCGGAGCGTGGACAGGTGGGTTGTTATTCCCTCAAGTATTTATTGAGCACCTGTTCTGCCTGGCATATAATAAACAGGCCCTAGAAACAAATGAAAGACACATTGTGTCTTGCAAGGATTTGATGGCTTCCTGGTGGAAGACAATAAGGACAGAAAAGTTGCCACTGTGGCACAGGGAGGATCGTGCACTCAGGCTGGCAGGGGCCCAGAGCTGAGGAAGGGTGAGACATACAGGCTGCTTCCTGGGGGAGGCAGCTCAGAAGGGAGGTGCAGGAGGAGGTGAACGTCCCCAGATGGCAGGGTCCCTGGGGGTGAAGGGGATCTGTGGATGACAAAGGTGGGGTGGGGAGGTTGCCACCAGGGACCAGGCTTGGCCGAGGAGGTGGCATGGAGGGGCCCTGGCCAGCAGCCCAGCCTCTGGGTTGCTCTGCTGAGGGTGCAGCAAGGGGCTGCAGGGCAGGAATTGAGGCTATGCGTGAGGAGCAGGTGCAGTTAGGGCCTGGCTGGGGGTCCAGACCCTGCGGGGGATCTGGAGGTCCCAAGGCCTGAGGGTTCAGGGAACAGAAGCTGGGACATGGGTGCTGTGGCGGAAAATGGAATCCTGTGCGTGGCTGGTGGGAATGTGAAGGAAGATGGTATGATGGGTCCTCAAATGTCAGCGGTTCCATGTGGCCTAGGAGCTCCCCTGGTGTGTAACCCTGAAAGAATTTAAAGTGGCATCTGCAGATACTTGCCCAACAAGGCTCACAGTGGCACGGTTCACAACAGCCACAAGGGGTGGTGACCCAAGCTTGCTTCTGAAAACAGCCTATCCGTGCGTGGAATGCTGGTCAGCTCTGAACGCCATTCTGATCCATGCTGTAATGTGAACTTTAAGACAGCCTGCTAACTGAAATAAACCAGGAAAGGGGCAAATGTTGTAGGACTCCACTTCTATGAAATGTTCGGCAGAGGCATGGTCAGAGGAGTGCAGAATGGTGGCAGGCAGGGTAGAGGGAGGGAGGCAGGAAGTTACTGTGCGATTTGTTCGGGAGGGTAAGTTTTTGAAATGGACAGTGATGATGGGAGTGTTCATGAATGTCACTCACTGTGACACAACGGTCAAAATCGCGAATTTTACTGCAATTAGGAAAAAAGAGCTCGTCAGGAAGATGGGCACCATGCTTGGAGTAGAATGTGGGGTCCTAGGCTTCCTGCGGCGATGCTACTGGGATCGAGGCTGCTCGACAATGTGGACAGGAAGAGTGAATGCTGGAAGGGCACATGTGCCGGGCTGTGGGGACGGTGGAGGCAGAGGCTTTCAGCTGCACCGGAATGAGTAGTAAAAGGACCTCCGTGCCCTACGTGGCCATAGGCTGCGAGCATTCCCCGAAGTGTCAGCGACTTCCGCGGGAGCACTTGGTGCTCCTGTCTCCTGACCGTGTGGCTGTGGTATACAGAAGCACGCGGGGCGGAGTGTCCAGTGATTCCAAACAGTTTAATGTAATTCCAAGACAAAGTGTGATTACATTTCTACACATATACAATATGCATATGTGAGTTTACAAATTTTAATTAATAACTCGTTTCACCTCAGAGACCGAAAAAATGATCAAAAGAAACTGTAACAAGCTATAACATAGTTCACCACAACGGGACCCCCCTTCTCACCCTACAGTTAGTAATATTACAATTAAAATAACTATATTCTTCTATAATTTTTTCTGTTAAAATCATCTCATAAATTTACAATGCTATTATTAGTTTCCAAGACTAATATAAATTCACTCCATTTTTCTACAACGAAAATGATTAATTTAGAAGCACACGACATCATGATGAAAAAACACAAGCATTTTAGTAGCAAGGACTTGATCAGTTAAGAATTAGTTTTCTTGTAAAACATTCTAAAGCCAAGTAAAATATCCATTCTTATAACATACCTATGAGACTAAGGAATAGTTACATAGAGGTCTACAACACATTGGTTTGTCTTTAAAAAAAAGTAGACATTTATAAATAAAAAATAAGAGGGACAATTCACAGAGGGAAAGAGGTACACTTACCTATGAGACTAAGGAATAGTTACATAGAGGTCTACAACACATTGGTTTGTCTTTAAAAAAAAGTAGACATTTATAAATAAAAAATAAGAGGGACAATTCACAGAGGGAAAGAGGTACATGAGAAAATACTGTTGCACGCAATAATTTTCACACAGATTAACATGGATTAACACTTTTTATTACAGAAACCATACAGTGAGAAACACAACAGACCAGGGCTTCATGGAGTTACTGAGATTGAGCTAAGATGACCCAGTAGAGAAAGACCTGGGTGAGGTGACCTCAGGAGGGAGCTGTGTGCCTGGGGCTGGGGACCGGGCATCACCAGGCCTCCTCTTTCCCGCTGACTTTCTGGCGAGTGTGCCTGTCTATTCAGAGTGTCCTGAATTCATGGGCAGCTGGAAGGTAAACATTTCTACAGATCTGTTCTCTTTCCATCCTAATGGATATCATTTTTGGAAATGTGATATACTATCAGGCTGTAGTTCAATACGTGTGGTCAAAGCAAAACAGCTTGGAAAATTCCAGTCATCCTGACCGGCTGCCACTCCTTCCTCATCCATGCCCTTGATGCTGGGGACCAGAGAGTGGTGGCCTCCTCAGGACCCAGCTCCACTGTGGTGAGAGGGACAAGGGCCACTTGGCCCATGGTGAAGGAGCAGGGACGCGCATGCTAAGGCTGGCTCTGACCTCTAGAGGGCTCCGCTTTCCCCTCAGCTGTAAAGCTATCTTCTATCAGAATTTGGTTTGATATATATATATATACAAACATATATATCAACAGCTCTATCTATACAGTGATTCTACTAACTAGGGCTTCTGTTGCTCCAGAGTGTGCCTTTCTTGTCTACTTCATTTGGTTAAAAAAATGCACATGAAGAGGGTGAAGAGATGCTTTGGGGGCCTGAAATGGTTATGCCCTAGGAAAGCATGGGAGAAAGCAAGCTTTAAATAAGCAGGGACATACAGACAAGGAAAGGGGGGTGGGCAATGCACACAGGGACTTCACCTTCCGAGGGCAGGGGCAGGGTGGGGATGCTCTAGTCTGTGCAGAAGCCATAAAGGGTACAGAGATGGCACAGTTACTTTCCGCTTCCCAAGTTCTTCCTTCTCACCTGAGCCAGGGACTTAACAATAATAACCCAGTGTCTCTGGAGCCCTGCAGGTGGCTCTTCAACAGTAGGCAAGGGGCCTTTTCAGGCTGACTCTCAAGCTTCCTAGAAGTCCTGGGTGCCTGGGCATGGGGCTGTGGTGACAGCAGGTGGAGGCAGAGGTGGCCATGGGGATAACGACCCAACACAAGGAAAGCTGGGGGGGGGAGTGCCAGGAGAGATTTGGAGATTTGGTTGAAAGGGAACTAGAAAGAGCAATACCAGACCCCTCTTTAAAACATACTTTTCAAATAATAAAAGAGCCAATTTCTATACCTCTAGTTTTAAAAAATACAGATCAGCCCCAAAGACAATGACACAAAATTCATTTGGTTAATTAGTGCAAAGGAAAAGCACACACACACATACACACACGCACACAAGGGCACACACAAAGGTGGGAGGACGGTTAAGAGGGTGAGAGGAAGAGTACTCCACAGTCACAATTCTAACAAAGAAAGCCAAACAAGACTCTGCTGTCCCTGCGGTCCACAGGGAAAAATCCAGGGTATGATGTGAACAGAAAGAGTTCCCTGGTCCCGAGTGTTCTGCAGTTTTCAAGGTCGCATCTGTTAGAGGAATGGATCACACCTGAGGTCACAGCAGGTCCTCCACAGTTTGGTGGTGGCACAAGAGAAAATAAAAACCAAACAAGACTTAAGGAAAACGGCACTTCCCAGCCTGCCCTAAGCGCTCTCATTCTGTGCACCGGACCCTGGAGGACCAGCCCGGTGCCCCTCCTTCCCCAGCTCCTTGGGCTTGGCAGCTAGAACAGTCTCTGAACTGAGCCTACTTTTCACGCTCTCTGAACCGCGCCTCACATCTCAGCTTGACCATGCGTGAGAAGTAGACATGTCCTTTTGCGCTGATTTTTATTTAAAGGAGAGAATGACTAAGACAGCAGCTATACAAAGTCCAGCTAATGAATACGGGCGTGGAGGTGTGGTGTGCTCCTGAGCAACACTGCTCAGAATATCGCTGGCAGCCCAGGAAATAGCAGCTGGGTCTCTGAGGCCATCTGAATCTCAATGTCTTCTACAGTCTGGTGAGTGGAAGTAAGCAGATCTACGAACAAGTGAAATATTAAAAAAAAAAGAAAAAAAAAA